AAAAAAAAAAAAAAAAAAAAATATATATATATATAAGAACCAATGTCGTATTACGCACTAAAACTAAGAACACCGGAACACAGGGACATCCCAAACACTACGAAATATTGAAAAGTAAAACTGAATGAAAATCTGCTATAAGAAAGCAAATTGCACTTAATTTGCGTGTGGCTTGCGCTCATCAAGCGTGAAGTCTGTCATCTATGTTTGCACCGACCAGTTACCTCGTTGCAGATGCGCTGCTGGTGCATTACACTTTTCCAGTATGAATGTTTTTAACTGCGTAGCAGTCCCCCGTTTAATGATTGAGTTATAATCATCAGCACCAAGATACTGGCACAAGAATATTTCTTTGGTGTCGTCTAACACGATTTTGGAATACTCAGGTCTTTTGACACGGCGTGGACGGACATTTATATCTTAAGTGTAGGCGCCACAAAATTGAGCTATACTTATCAGCACATCACAGAGCATGTTCTAATCACTTTGCTAAAGACAACCGAAAGAGGGAACATAATTGCCGTTTCCTCAACAGTCACTTGATGACGAAACATAATGGTCATTTCAATTTAAGACAGCTCAGCTTATTACAAATTACCACAATGTTTAATGAGTCCAAATGAGGACGAGACAGCTGTTTTACATAGCTACCCAGCTCTGGGTTATTAATTTGTGTCGTGCTGCACCACACTAGCAGTATCATTGACTCCAGACAACACTATAGCACTGTTTTCAAGCTACAGAAGGCAAACAATGGATACTAATGGTTCAGTCAGTCTTCAGACGTGTTTCCATCTCGACGATCCCACTTTTCACCAAGCCTCGCAACGTTTTACCATGAACTTGATAACAGCCACTGTCAATATTATCACCGCTCTAGTTGCTGTTGTCGTCAATGCTTTAGTTGCCATTGCAGTCTTTGGCTACTCCCCACTACGTACTCCTTCAAATCTACTGATTGGCTGTTTGGCCCTGTCTGTTCTTGTTGCTTTAACTTGCCAGCCTGAATATATCACTTACAGGCTCATGGAAAAAAAACATCGAGTGGTTCCCTGTTTCGTTAGAATCACTTACAGCACAGCCTTCTACGTTTGCTTGGGAGTTTCTTCCATGACCTTAACCGCCGTGTGTTATGAAAGATAAGTGGCGGTCTTTTTACCTGTAAGGCACAACTCTTATTTTTAATCAAGGCAAAGTGCAAATTATATCTCATTGATGTGGTTCCTGAACAGTCTACTTGCGGGCTTAGAATGGGCAAATATAAAACCAGTGGCAAAAGGTGTCCGTCTCTTTGTCTGGCTGATTTGTCTTCTCGTTTCTGTAGCCACGCAAATTGGTATTCTTGCAACCATGCGGCGGCATCATAAACGAGTTCAAGTTCACCTTCGAGAAACCAGAATTGTGTAGAGGCAATTAAGAGAAGTTAAACTTGCCAAAAGTATCTCTGTGATCGTCGTAGGTTACATAATTTTAAACTTTCCCATTCTGTTTGTGAAATTTTACCGTCAAATCGACCTTCGAGAGGACAGCCATAACAGTTGGACTGAAACATTAGCTCTTCTCAATTCAAGCTTAAACCCTTTCATATCTTGCTGGAAAAATCAACAGATCGGTCGAAAAGTCAAAGCTTTGTTAAAGAAGATATATTTTATAACAAATTAAGATGGCAGAAAACATCAATAAATAACATACACACCAGGACAACAACACAGCCCACATACCAGTCCTTCTGCTGAGCTGGTCTAGTTGGGTTTATTGTACTAAGGCCTGTGATTGTACTAACGGTGTGGTTAGTGTAAAGGCGGAAGTTGTAAAAGTAGAAAATCTTTGTTTCGATTTGTCAACTTGTAAAAAAGGCAAGCATTGTGTGTCACGAGGAAATATTTAGAAGGTATGATTTTAAGAGTGCAGAGACGAAACACCACTGAGAAAACGTGATAGTAGTGGACACTTGGCTCTTGTTTTCTGTAGAAACTCTATCTCTAATTAACATAGAAATAACAATACAACAGACCTTGTTAAACTCACTTTAGTTTCTGACATGTTTATTTTTTATTAACAGCGCTTTCATTGGTTTCAGACAAACGATATTTACGCTGCCCTTACTTTTTATAAAAAAACTCATTTGCAAAATGTCTTTTGAAAAAAAAAAGAAGAAAACAAAAGGAAAAGAAACGAAAAATGTCTTTCCCTTTCCGCTAAATTAAGCGTCCTCGTGGAGAAATGGAAAGAAAAATAGCTCTTTAACTACTGGTGGTTCAATTTGGTTCAAGAAAATACAAGAGACAAAAGCGAATTCTCAAGTGCTGAGAAGCGCGCTCTAAACACACACGCACAGATTGGACACTATAGTTTTACGGTGAGAAAATCCAAGCGTTTTCGCTCCTTACGGATTAAGAGTTACAGCGGAACTTAAGTTTAACATACTACAATCCTTTAGCGACATAGAGCAACGGAGGAGTAAAAATAACTTTTTCCTGAACTAACCTTGACCCGCCGTGTTTATCGATGAACGAGAACGTTCTTGGGATCGAGCAGTTTCGTTAAACGGAACAAAAAACTGAAACCAGATTGAGATACCAATCTGAACGATTCAAGTGTGGAGGTGAATCGTTCAGATTGCAATCTTAGATTGGTTTAGTCCTCGGATCGCTAAATCCGGATTTAGATTGGTCAAAATGAACGCAACGCTGTTTCGTCCTTCGTAATTTGTAAAAAGTCCGAACTGTCATCAATTTTATTGGCCATTGTTGTGTTTCGTTATTAGTCATTTAGTAGATGACTAATAACGAAACACAACAATGGCCAATAAAATTGATGACAGCTCGGACTTATTACAAATTACGAAGGACGAAACAGCTGTCTCAAAAAGCTACCGTGCTCTGTTGGGTTATCTTTGTCGGTTGATATCTATTATGTAGTGTAAGCTCTGCTGCCTTGTTCACCGACGACTTACCGGAATTACAATAGGTGTGGTAATAATTCACGACAGAACGCTGGTATGTAGTACATGCTCTCTTTAAACGTTAAGTGACACCACAGTCAAAACGTATAAGTATAATGATACTCTCCTGGTAAAGCAAAAAGGTAACAGTGTTTGCCAGATTTTTATTTTTTAAGTAACGTGTTTTAAAACCTTTAGCAGACATCTTTTAGGTTGTGTTTTATTTTTTACGTAAAGGAGGGGGGGAGGGATAGGAGAGACCATCATCTAGCAATGCCAGCGACGTTTTAGTAACATCGACTTAAAACTCTGTAGTGATTTTCTGCTTAAAACAGAAAACAAGGATGAGTAAGTTAATAACTGGTACCAAAGCGGTTACTAATATCTCATTTCATTTATGGCTTTAAGGGCAGCAAAATTGCACAATTTTTAATTCATAGCATATTTCTTTCCTGATATGTGACCCTCCACTGGACTTCGATGCTAGAGGTGAAAGCATGCGCTTACGACACGTTTGTACGACACGCTTAGTTTGTCTTAGATCACGGATATGCGCATACAAAATTACTACCACAAAGAACTACATACTTGGCTTTTTTTGGTAAACTTGACACGCGAAATCTTTTATATCTTGTAGCGTGCTATATATGTCACGGTAAGCGTGCGCTTTATGGCACACTTAGTGTGCAATTTGAGTAACAACAGTAGTCGATAAAACTTAAATAAACCGACACATAGATTTGTTTTATGGAATTTGATAGAAAATGACAATAAATCATCACTAAGTAAACAAGAACGCGAACACTATAACACCTTAAAACATTTTCCTTCGTGTATACATTCAACCATTGCAATTTATCGATCGCTAATTCCTTGAGCCAGAACAACTCGATTAACCGATATAAAATTTTGCCCGGAATTACAAGAAGCGAATTAGCCCTTGACGAAGACAATTTCCCTGCTTGGCTCGCCGCTTTNTTTTTTTTTTTTTTTTTTTTTCAGCTAAAAGTGAAACTTTTACTCGTCAAAGTATAAGACATAAGCGGGTGCACACGCATGAAAGCACTGACGGGCGGTGTCAATTTCTGCAGATGCAAAGCAATAAATTGCTTTCTCGAAATCTTTTCGACTGGTTAATATACCAAAATTCTGTTTGCTTTTTTTTTGTTCCTCAAGAGCCGAGACTGGCGATTCTCGCGTCTAGAAGCTAGAGGAAAACAAGTTTCGGGTACTTTTGAGCAGTACTGTCGCTCTAGATAAAACGCCTTGCGTGCTTTTGCGCACGCTGAAAGCGAGTTGCGCTACTTCTCACGCAAGCTGTTGTTTAAAAACTTTAACACGCTCTTATGTTCAACTTCCTCACTTTTAATTGTCTCAAAGGTGCTAAAACGTGTTAAAATGAATTCTTTTGTTTTAAAGTGGAAGTGTGTCGTGAGCGTGCTTTCACCTTGAGCATCAAAATCCTTGTGGGGGTCACATATCATTCAGTCTTTTTTTAAGTAAATGCTTCCGCTTTCAGTTCACTCCATTCACAAAGGCTGTATTAGGTTGCCATGGTGAGACAAGACTTTGGCTCCAAAAATCTGGTATCAGAATATATTTCAGCTCATATATGGTTTTTAAGAGAAATAAAACTATAGCTACTTGTTGTGATACAAAATAGGTAGTTTCCTGTTTTGATCTTTTCCTAGAACTTTTGCTTGAATTTTTGCTTAGCTCGCGAGTTTATTACTTAAAGCCATTTTCGGAATATTCTTTGCTTGCTATTGTCAGATGTTAGTTTTTGATAGGTGGTCGTGTTTGTGATGTTAGAGCTGACCTTGATTCATTGGATTAGTTGAAGTTCCCGTTTGGGTTTGTTATTAGTTTATCATTGGTTTTTGTAACATAAAAAAAGTAAATCGCGCGCTCTGATTGGTCAGTTAGCCACTACCATTTGCCCGTGGGTGCACGCCAAGAAACTGAGCTAGCACGGTAAAATTTAGGCAACTTCAACAAATCTCCTCTCCTGACGGTAAAATACACCGATAAAATGCACAGATGAAAAGTGGAAGTTGAAGAAAATACTAAGCTGTCGTTTTGAAGGAAAAAAGACAAAAGATCAAGCGACAAATTTGCACTGGATGAATTGATCACTGTTTTCCTTGCGGCTAGAATCGGCTGAAGGAAAATAGAGGGAGCAAAGATTTAAGGTACATTTTGCGTGTTTTTTGTAGAAGAGAAAGTCTGTTTGAAATGTAAATTTATCAATTAGCATTGCGTCATTGACTTTTTGGTCAAGCTGATGCTAAATTCAAGCAAATATTTTAGGAAACACGCTCAAATTTGAGACAGCTTTGTTGTGAAGTTTTCATCGCATCGATAAAATTTTAGTTGAGTTTGATCGAGCGCATTACGCTGGAATAAGCGAATTTCATTTGAGTACAGAAACATTTGGGTTTTCAAATAAATTTTTTTAAAAAACAACTTCTGTGTGTATTGTTTTGTTCCTCAGTGTTCATTCATAACAGTCGTTCAGAGAACTGTCGAAAAACAACAGCCTTAGGGCCGGCTGTCTGTTGGCGAATTTCAGTTGCAACTTTGACTTTCATAGCTGGATTTCCCCAGACAGTTTTCGATACAAAGCTAGTTAACATCTTTTTAAAATTAGTGTTACCTGTTATTCTAAAGGAATTACAGTCAAATTTTCTCATTTCTACTTTACGTTTATTTCAAAAATTGTCACATAAATAAGCTTGATAATTATTTCATTTATTTAGTTTTAGACTGTCATCAATTTTATTGGCCATTGTTGTGTTTCGTTATTAGTCATTTAGTAGATGACTAATAACGAAACACAACAATGGCCAATAAAATTGATGACAGCTCGGACTTATTACAAATTACGAAGGACGAAACAGCTGTCTCAAAAAGCTACCGTGCTCTGTTCGGTTATCTTTGTCGGTTGATATCTATTATGTAGTGTAAGCTCTGCTGCCTTGTTCACCGACGACTTACTGGAATTACAATAGGTGTGGTAATAATTCACGACAGAACGCTGGTATGTAGTACATGCTCTCTTTAAACGTTAAGTGACACCACAGTCAAAACGTATAAGTATAATGATACTCTCCTGGTAAAGCAAAAAGGTAACAGTGTTTGCCAGATTTTTATTTTTTAAGTAACGTGTTTTAAAACCTTTAGCAGACATCTTTTAGGTTGTGTTTTATTTTTTACGTAAAGGAGGGGGGGAGGGATAGGAGAGACCATCATCTAGCAATGCCAGCGACGTTTTAGTAACATCGACTTAAAACTCTGTAGTGATTTTCTGCTTAAAACAGAAAACAAGGATGAGTAAGTTAATAACTGGTACCAAAGCGGTTACTAATATCTCATTTCATTTATGGCTTTAAGGGCAGCAAAATTGCACAATTTTTAATTCATAGCATATTTCTTTCCTGATATGTGACCCTCCACTGGACTT